GTGCTGATGAAAAAGAGGTCAAGAAACCCTCTGAAGGCCAGGATCCAGGAGAAAAATTGGCAACAACTGTTTTGGTGAACAAATTTTACCAAAGCAAACAAGAAGTATCTCCCTCCACCCTCCATGCCCTGCTCCCAGCAGATACTTTACTAAGATATTAACAATTCCTGAATTAATTTCTTAAATGCACATTCTTCTTTTATAGATATGGAAATAGATCTCTGGTTATTTTTGATGAGCCAATACATCCACTTTCAGTAAGTGTCACTTTGTCTGAGGTTCTGTTTATGTCTTATAGAGTTGTGTTTATTTCATGATGAAGTCAAAATCGTCCACCATTAAGTCTTCACTAAGTTGTGTCTAATCATCTTACGTAAGGAGTGTTGTAAATTGGACACACTGGAGTAAGAGCTGACTTACAGCTTTGTTTAATTTGTGCCCTAAAGGGAATAAATATACCATCCAAATAACAAAATGTGACATTTTAAAAGATAATTTTTATAGCAGCAAACAATATAAATATTTGTAAGTAGTCCTAACAAATATGCACAAACTCTGTGAATAGAATTAGAAAACAATTTAAAGTTAAATTTGTTTAAATGCTATAAAAACTTCCTTCTTCAGGCATATGAGAGCCACAGGGCCACCTTAGCACCTATGTTCACAGAAAACCAAAAATATTTTAAGATCCTACTGTTTATATTTTTAGAACTAAAAGACATTTTATCCCAGCAAAATTATTGTAAGGGACACGTGGGCACAAATTTAAACATTCCCATCTTAAGAGTACTTAAGAAGTTTTCTTGAATGAATATTTATATTGCCTTTTTTCTTCTTTCAGCAAGAAAAGATTCCAGGGAAATCCTTTGAGGATGATCCCAAATGCAACTGCATTTTCAGATATTTCTGTACTCTTTTTAAAGTCACAAAACTAACAGCTCCAGGTGCAATCGTAGCATTGGTAAGCTATTTCTTATCTATAAAGCATCTTTAATAACTGGTCTCCTACACAGCATATGGCCATGTTTCTAAATAAAAGTCAGTTCCTAAAGTTATCATCAGATCTTTTAAGAGAAACCTATGCAAGCAAAGTAAATACACATATTAGAGTTTAATCATCATCATGTTTTCAAATGATGCCATTGCTTTTCTTATCACAGAATAATTGCTACTAAAAGCAGCAGGAGAGACTTCTGGTTTCTCCCTCAACAGATTCCAATGTAGGTCTAAGCTGAGTTCTGGGCTGTGTTTCCCCACAGTTCTGACCTGGAGCTGCTGCTCCGAATGCTTTGTTGTTCCTGGTGACCTCTTGTGCCTGCTCGGGAAATTGCCCAGGCATGTGGAACCAGTAAGACTTGGACATGGGCTTTGGTAGTTAGCCTGCCAAGCCATGGCTGTGTCCTTACCTCTACATGGTTCTCACAGAGTTCCTGTGGTGAGACTCATTCTGAATATAAAGTCCTGTTCAGATGGCTGGGATTGTTTGACCCCTCCCCACACTAACCTGTAGAGGAGTGTCAACCACACGGCCTGGAGAGAAAGGATACTTAGAGCAGTACCCTCTCCTTTAGCATCCGGCTAGAGCTCAGGGTCGAAGGCTTCTGCTGGGCACCTGCATAGAAACCTCTCCGTGAGCACTGGATCAGATGCAGGCCATTTCATGGAGCTGCAGCCATTGGGAATGCTCAGCACATGCTGGAGGGAAGCAGGAGTGGTACTTCCAGATGGAGAGAGAGAGAGCTGATGCAGGAGGGAAAGCTGGATTGGAAGAAGGGGGAGTTCACTGTATACAGGCTAAATTTGGTGTGCCCGTGAGATAGCAGAGTGACGTGTGCAGTCATTATGTGAATCTATGGAACTGGAACATGAATCTGAGCAGTGCAGTCATGATTTGGATGTATGGGACTGGAGCATGAATCTGAGCTGGAGGTAAGGAATGAAAAGTAAGAGTAGCTGCTCAAGGTGAGGCACGAAGGCTCACACCTGTAATCCCAGCTCTTTGGGAGACCAAGTCGGGCGGATCACTGAGGTCAGGAGTTCAAGGTCAGCCTGGCCAACATGGTGAAACCCTGTCTCTTCTAAAAAAAATACAAAAAATTACCTGGGCTTGGTGGTGGACACCAGTAATCCCAGCTACTTGGGAGGCTGAGGCAGGAGAATCTTTAGAACCTGGGAGGCAGAGGTTGCAGTGAGCCAAGATTGCACCACTGCCCTCCAGCCTGTACAACAACAGCAAAACCCTGGAAAAGGGAAAAAAAAAAAAAAAGAAAAAAAGAATAGCTGCTCAAATGCAAAGAAAGTGTTTAGAATGAAAGTGGACAAGCCGGACATGGTGGGACACACCTGTAGTCGCAGTGACCCAGGAAAAGGAAAAAAAGAGAAAATAGACAAAAGATAGCTCTGTAAAGACTACAGGCATGTGAGGGACAATTCCCCAGGTAAGTGGCCAGAGTGGGAGGAGGAAGAGCAGGAAAAAATGATAAGAACAAAGGGTTCACGATAGGAAAGTCTGTGGTCACAGTGCTACATGCTGCCAAGAAGGTGCCCATTCCATAAACACCCCTGGGATGCCAACCCTGTGCCACTCTTCTAAGTGCTGGGGTAGAGAAGAGGACAGGCCCAGCACAGTCCTTGTCTTTATGAGGCATTTGTTTTAATGAGGAAAGCATTTCTTTTTTTACGTAATGGCAAATAGCAAAATGATAAAGCAGGATACAGAGAGAGTGATGGGAGGGGCTCGCGCTCTCAGATAGAATGATCAGGAAGAGCCTCTCTAGAGAGGTCACATCTGAACAGTGACCTGACTACAAAGCAAGAATGATAAGGAGCTGGCATTACTGGCAGTGGGATGAGTGCCAAGAGAGACAGGAACACATTTCATGTGTGTTCAAGGAACAGACAGAGGGAGCCCGTGTGGTGAGAGAAATGAAGGAAAGAATGGAAAAGATGAGGCCGCACAGGCGGTGCCATCGCTCACAGGGCCCTTTGGCTTGCAGAGCAGGGGACGAAGTTAAGGTTTTATTCCAGTTTGAAGTGGAATCTAATAGTAGATCTTGAGCAGGGGAGTGCAGTGTTCTTAATTTAGAGGTTATCCCAACTGCTCTCGGGAGAGTAGACCACAGTTGGGAGGAGGGTTGGGGCAGAGAAAAGGACTAAGAAGCAACTAGGCTGTTACAGGTGAGCCGTGACAAATGACAATCCAGAATCTGAAGCAGTCAGCCTGCCAGTGAAGGTAGCCATAGAGGGATTGCACACGGATTGGAGGAGGGTAACTCACATGTAAGTATTAGTCCCCAGGAGCTAGGCCAATGGCAATTCCCTGGAGAAGATTAGGGCCAGGTTGTGGAGTGGAGCCTTGGGGTGAAGGGCTCTGGTTTGTGGGTGTGAAGGCTCCGGGGACCTCGGCAAGAGGAGTCTAGGGTGAGTGATGGGGATGAGGGGTGGTTAAGGAGAGATGGGAGGTGAGCTGGCACCAGGGCATGACACTGTGAGCAAATGAGAGGATGTCCTGGGGGAACTAGGGGGAACAGGATGGGAACAGGCAACACATTTGTATTGGGGAAAATCTCTGGCAGAGAGGGAGAAAGCCCTCAAGAAGAGGTGATTTGGGGAACAGTGTTCTGCAAAAGTGGGATAGGATCCATCATGCTGATAGAAGAGTCGGTGTTAAAAGAGGAACTTTCTCACTGACCCAGGAGGGCAAGTGGTATCGATGAGTGTCAGCAGGTCACCAGCTTACCAGGAAAGGTGACAGGAAGTTGAGGGCTCGCCAGTGCTGTTTCAGTGCTCTCTAATGAGTCCTGTGGAGTTGAACCCTGGGAGGGAGGGTTATTCCTTGGATACCCGACAGTGCAGAGTTTTGGAGAAAGGGAGCAGGATCTCTCATAAGAACATGTCATGTTCAAGGGCCATGTGATTTGGAAAACACAATTGATTCTGGAGAACATTGCCAGATCTGAGCCGCCAATCTGATAATGTTCAGACAATAAATGAACTCTCTTAAAATGAACTGTTTTCCTTTCACCTTGATACAAAGACTTCAAGTAGCATAGAGTCATACTCTTCTACAGAGCACTGTCTGAGGTAGCAACACCTCACAGCTTATCTCTGTAACCTTCACTCAGCTGGTCCCTCACCCAGTTCTTTAGAGGATAGAGATTGGATAGATAGAGAATACTTTCTGAAATACTTTCTGAGATTATCTCACAAACTGCCTGACAGGTTTAGAGGCACCCCAAGGATACAGAGGCCGGCAGCTCTCTCTGCCTTCAAACCCACAGAATTGACTGAATGCAAATACTATAGCACAAAGGAATAAGTTTTCCTGAGGTGATTGTGGAGACATGGAAAATAGGGGCTGTGAGCAGGACCCTCCATTCATTCACATGCGTTCCTTATCAAGGCACTGAACACAGGGACTGTTTCTCAGCAACAGAAGCCTGCCCTTGTCATGCTGTCTGCCCGGCAGGCACTGGGAGGCACTCTCGACCCACAGTTCCTAAGCCTGTGTCCCAAGGGCGGGTTAGTTATTGTGAAAAGGAGAAGACAGCAGTGTTCTCAGTATGACTTGGGTGCTACACATTCGAGCATGGCACACCTGTAAAATTCTTATCTACCTGCCAGCCAGGTGTGACGCTGCATGAGGATGGCACTGTAGTGTTTTCTGAACAAACTTAGTCTGCACGAGGCCTGTGTTTGTGCTGCCTTTCATGAGTGTGAAGGTGCTGAAGGTGCCTTTCTTCATGCTCACATCCCTGTGAGTGAAATTGGCATGGAAATTTCTATGGGCAGAGTATGCTGCAGAGGTATCTGACTACGACTGTGACTTGGCCTCTCGCTTTGTCTGAGCAAAGTCCCTGCAGAACATAAGAATAAAAGGCACTTACTTTATGGCCAAAACCGGAAGAAGTCTTTAATTCTTAAATGTTCTTACAACCGCACTGAAACAGAACTGAAATCAAAGACAAGTGCTCTATTTTGCAGGTGTACATTGAACATCTTTTAACTAATGCTAACATTGATCTTTGTCCTACTAATTGGAAACAAATTGTCCTCGGAGCCATGCTTCTGGCCTCCAAGCTTTGGCGAAATCGTCATCTGTGGAGTGGGGATGACAGCCAGAATCCCAAGGATGTTGCAGCTGAGACAATGTGAGTTTCTAAGGTTTTGGCAAACTGTGTCATCATTTTCCATGCCTCATTTGCTCTCCAAGTTATCACTGCAAGAAATATCTTTATAGGTTTCATTGTGCCGATAAAGGAAATAGGCATAAGACCACAGACTTCAATCTATCCAGCTTTGGTATAACAGTTTATATTTTCCAGCATTAATGGGTAAGTCTTGATGCGTTATTGTTGTAATAACTGGCTGATAAACTGAAAAGTGTTTTTCTGATTGTTTTTTGGCCAACCTCTTACAAGTGTGCTGTCAGAATGACACAGTACAGGGAATGTCTTTATAGTGTTTTAGAGGCCACCTGCCAGTTTCAGTCCCCTTTGCAGGGGCAAACATCTGGCTTTGAAATAATTGGCCACTGTTAAGATCTCAAGGCCTCTGGACTATGCAGAAGTTACAGCTTTAACCTAAGTCACCCATTGTGTATTTGCTTTTGCTGCTCCTTGTCTCCCCCTTTAATCTGAAGATCTGTTTTTATAGGAACCTTGAGATATGATGTTAAATAGCTACAGATTTCTGTGCCCTGGCTCCTCCCCATTGGGAACATTGCATGTGTTTGGAAATCGGTCTGATGAGTTAGAAGCTTCTGTGTTCACCTCCCGCAGTGTGAGAAGGATTTCTGGGGCATCACCCCATGCCCACCGCACTCACAGGCTCCCTGGGTACTCAGACATTCACAGAAGCAGGCTGGGGCCAGTAGTTGTTTATGAGTATGTGGGGAGCCTTGCCGGATCGTGGGGTTCCTCCCAGATGCACCAACATGACACTGAAACACAGCTTCCCCAGGATTCCCTTCCAATTTGGCCTTACGACTGCTGTGAAGTGAAGGGCCCTGCAGCAGGCAGGCAGGGTGAGCAGGGGGGCATTTCCAGCAGATCCGCCCTGGGTGCCCGCTGGACAGTGAGGACAGCTGTGTCAGCTCCATCTGGTACAAGCCGAGGGAGCAGCTCTTGTTTACATCGAGCAGCAGCAGAAAAGATGATGCCAGGCAGTGGCACAAGTTAGTTTTGTGATCTGTGCCCATGACTCCAGATAGGAGTGTTACTCAGAATCACCTCAGTGTATGTCTACAATTGAAGATAGAGCATATATTGCAGATATACTGCAGTGTGTATATAGCTACATTCAAAAATAACCACTTGGCGCCTCAGCTCAGTGGCTCATGGCTGTGATCCCAGCCCTTCAGGAGGCCGAGGCGAGTGGATCGCTTGAGCACAGGAGTTCAGACCTGCTGGGTAACACAGTGAAGCCTGTCCATACAAAAACATTTTTTAAAAGTTAGCCAGGTGTGTTGGCAGGTGCCTCTAGTAGTCCCTGCTACTTGGGAGTCTGACGTGGGAGAATTGCCTGAGCCTGGTAAGTTTAGGCTGTAGTGAGCTGTGATCACGTGACTGCACTCCAGTCCTGGGTGATGGAGCCAGACTCTAAGACACAAACAAACAAAAAAACATTTTTGCCACTACTTTGCTAATAGTATAAACCAAGTGATCATTGTGATATTTGTAGTAGCCATTTTAGCAAAGAGTGTGACAGCAAATGAATTTGAAACAAATGGAAGTACTTTGAAAGTTGCAAATGCTAAAGTGAGTTTAATCGTAGTCATCCATTTGCAAACTGGTCCCTCAGAGGACGCAAGATTTGTGACTGCCTGATTTCTCCTTGCCTGCTGCCTAGCCAGAGCTGATTTACCAATACAGGATAATTGCAATAGAGAAAGAGTTGAATTCATGCAGAGACAGCTGTACGGGAGACTAGAGTTTTACTATTACCCAAATTAGTCTCTCTGAAAACTCTGAGGTAATTTTTTAAAAGAATAATTTGGTGGGTAGGGGGTCAGAAAGTGGGGAGTGCTGATTGGTCAGGTCAGCGATGAAATCATAGGGAGTTGAAGCTGTCCTCCTGCATTGAGTTGGCTCCTGGGTGGGGGCCACAAAACCAGATGAGCCACGTTTATTTGTTGGGGTGGTGCCACCTGATCCCAGTACAAGGTCTGCAAAATATCTCCAGCACTGATTTTAGGTTTCACAATAGTGATGTTATTCCCAGGAGCAATACGGGGAGGTTCAGATTCTTGCAGCCTTCAGCCTCATGACTCCTAAGCCACAATTTCCAATCTTGTGGCTAATTTATTAGTTCTGTAAGGGTCATCTATCTAGTCCCCAGGTGGGAAAGGGGTTTGTTTTGGGAAAGGGTTGTTGCCATCTTTGTTTCAAAGTTAAACTACAAACTACGTTCCTTCCAAAGTTAGTTTGGCCTCTGCGTAGGAATGAAAAAGGACAGCTTGGAAGTTAGAAGTGAGATGAAGTCAGATCAGCCCTCTTTCACTGTCATAATTTCTCAGTTACAATTTTTGCAAAGGTGGTTTCAAATTTGTAATCATGAACACTTAGTTCTGCCATTTTGGCATCTGAATTGTTCTCAAAACCTGTAGGTAAGCTGGCTGGGGCTCTGATTTCTAGTCACAAGATCAGAGAGCATGCAGGGATATGTGCAGGTTTCCACAGAAGTGAGCTCCAGGAGCAGTGGAGGCAGAGGCCAGCCCCAAGAAGACAGGCTCCAAACAGAGCCGTTTGTGTGTGAACGGAGAAACAACAGGAGCTATGCTCTGAACAGGCTGCTTCAGTTTATGATCTTGGGAAGCTGAAAAGCATTACGTCCAAGCATTTAATAGACATGTGTCTCACCCTACTGCTGTTGACTGTTTGCAATGATCCCATTTTGAGTGTCAGTTTAACAGATAAAAAACTGCTGTCCATCAGATTTTTCTTAAAACTTTCCAACATCGATGTGTCTCCCTAGAATATATTTTCTTTCTAGAGAGCTAAACTGAGTAGCCAGTATTCAGAAATGCTGTGTTGTAAAGGGTATGCTATTCAATCAACTAGCTGTTTAAATAACCAGGAATCCCAGAAGATGCATAGTCTGTACACAGAATTCTTTTCTTCAGTGATTAGACCTCTATTAATAGATACGTTAATTCTGTGAAGTGCCATTCATTCCTGTAGTAAGTCAGGTCCTGATTAGCCGTCTATTCAAATATTGTTTGATTTACATTTCTATAGACTTATGGATAAGTGAACAGGAAATTAATTTTGGAAGTAGGTTCTTCAGCAGATGAGATCCCCACATCTTGACTTGTAGTCTAACTGCCCTCCGCTTTCAAGCATTTGCTTACTTAGCCAGTGGGTAAAATGTTAAAACTTTCAAACCAAGAAACCAAATGTATTGTTCAGAAATTGATCATTTTAAAGCAATTAACTCATTACAGGAGTTACTCTGAAAGCAGCCAGAATGACTCTAACTGTGTACCTATTAATTTAGCTTTGGTGAGGGCGCTGGATGACCGTGAGGCAGAGGACGGCTCCCAGTCCTTTCCTCTCCCATTGCATCCAACTCCCGCACATTCTGTTCTGTCCAGGGGTGACAGATGCTGAGTTCTTCAGGGTTGCATTCCCAACTCAAGAGCAGCACTGCGTGTGTTAAGGCCAGGGCCCTACTATAAATCACATTATAAAATGAGTTTAGTCTAGCCAAAATGTCTCTCCTTGACTTTTCTTCCTTTCAAATTATAAATGTTATTCTTCCCCAGTCTCTTCATAATATTAAGGTGAGCAGAAACTTGCATTATGCCTCCTTGACATAGCCTAGTGCGCTGGAGCAGAGGGAAGGGGATTCTTTTTGCCATGGAATGTATCTTGCTTATGTATTTATTTGGGATGAATCCTCCTTGTAGCCTTAGAGTTTTTCCTCCTCCGAGGTAATAGGGTGGCTCTCCATGGGTCCATTTGTTGCCATGGTGATGTGCCCCATCTTCCTGTTGGTGCTTCTCTACTTCAGTAAGTCCCTTCCTGTTATCATCCTGGTAAACATGCTTGGAGCTTCTTCAGAGCTAGTAACTGGTACCCATCATCCTGTCATCTGATCGTGATTGCGGGGTTTGTGAGTGAGCGTGGAGTCTGAGTTGTGCAGCTGCCCTAAGGGAACTGTGAAGAATAAGCCCCGAGTCAGCAGCAGGAGTGCAGAAGAGACTTCCACCTATCCCTCCTCCCAAACTTGGGGTGCTGGGATGCAGAAGAGACCCCAAGCAGCTGTGCCTTGCTTGGACATTAGTGTAAGGACCCAACCAGTCAGCCTTTGTTTCAAAACAGAATTTGGAGTATCCTAGTAGCTCAGAATGATATTTTTAAAGATAACCCACTTGACTAAAATTGCCCTGTGTTGGCTTTACTGTGTTTTTCCTCCCCCAGGAGTACGATGGAGAAGTGTTTTTTGGAGCTACTTGAGTTTAATATTCATGTGTCTGCCAGTGTTTATGCGAAATATTACTTTGACCTGCGTGCCTTGGCATACGACCATGACCTGTGTTTTCATTTTAGTTTTCTTCACAAACATAAAGCACAGAGACTGAAGGTAAGGCTGTGAAGTCACTTGGTGGAGTTTCCCATCGGACATAAAAGCCAATATCTGTGATAAAATCATATTAAGTAGTGATTAGGAAAATGAAAGCCTTAAAATTAACAGACCAAAGTGCTTATTTCTTTGGCATCCTATTTCCTGTCCTTTTTGCTTTATACAGGAATTATTATTATTATTATTTTATGAGAAGGAGTTTTGCTCTTGTTGCCCAGGCTGGAGTGCAATGGTGCGATCTCAGCTTATTGCAACCTCCGCATCCTGGGTCCAAGCGATTCCCCTACCTCTGCCTGCCGAGTAGCTGGGATTATGTGCGTGCACCACCATGCCCGCATATTTTGTATTCTTACTAGATACAGGATTCCTCCATGTTGGTCAGGCTGGTCTCGAACTCCTGACCTCAGGTGATCTGCCTGCCTTGGCCTCCCAAAGTGCTGGGATTACAGGGATGAGCCACTGCACCTGGCCAAGGATCTATATATTTTAAAAATTATTGATATTCTCACTGCTTTGACCATAATTCAGAATATTTTTAAATTTAACCTGTTCTTAATGAGTTTTGTTTTTAATTTCTACCTGTTCACATAACATTCGTGAATAAATGCGGATGTATTCCTAATTATATGTAAACAGACAATGCACTGACTGCTCTTGACTCTTTTACTTAAGCAGTTTGCCATTTTGTGTCCTTGTCTATTCTATATATCTCGGTGCAGTCCCAGGAGTTTATCAGACAAAGCAGTAGTGGCTGAGAGACCTGAGCTTAGACTGTATAAGGTGCCAGTGTTTCAAGTACTAGGTGTAGGAAGGACATGGGTTTTTAGTGAAAAGGGCTTCATGGGACAATGTAAGATTTATGGCTTATGACTCTTGG